CGGACGACTGAGCGCAAGCAAGCGACTTCCGCTTCTGTGTTAGTTTCCTGTGGTGTTGTCACAAATTACTCAAATCCAGTGGCTTTTAAAATACAGAACTGGGGCCAGGGTTGTGGCGCACCACCACATGCAAGCCGGCATCCTGCATTAGAGCACTGGTTCGAGTCCCGGCTGCTCCACTTCTGATCCACCTCCCTGCTGATGCACCTGGGAAAGCGGCAGCCGATGGTCCAAGTCCTTGGGCCCCTGCTGCCATATGAGAGACCTGGAGGAAGCTCCTGGCTCCTGTTTTGGCCTGGTCCAGCCCTGGCCTTTGAGGCCATTTCGGGAGTGAACCAGCCGATGGAGAAATTTCTCTCTCCTCCTCTCTCTGTCACTCTGCCTTTCAAATCAATCAATCAATCAATCAATCAATCTTTTAAGCACACAGAGAACACACAGCAGGCAGAAGTCAGAAATGTGTCTCACGGGTCCAAATCCAGGGGCCGGCGGGGCGGCTCGCCCTGGGCCTCCACAGGACGGGGCTTCCCTGCCCTCTGGCTGGGGCTGACTTCCCGGCATCCTGGACTTGACCTCCCTCCGCTCTGAAGCCAGCCAAGCGTCCTCCTCTCCGAGCCCGCTGCCCTCTGCTCTGGCTCCTGCCCTCTTCTGTCTCCAGGCAAGCGTCCCTTTTGTTTCAAGAATCATCGTTCATTTCTTTATCTAGTTGAAAGGCAGAGAGACCCAGAGAGGAGACAGAGAGAGAGCCCACCCTCCGGTTCGCTCCCCAGTTGCCCGCAACAGCCAGGGATTGGGCCAAGCTGGAGCCGGGAGCCAGGAACCCAACCCGGTCCCCCCCGCCCCCGTGGGTGCAGGGATGCAGGCACGGAGCCATCACCTGCTGCCTCTCAGGGCGTGCGTTAGCAGGAAGGTGGCTCAGAAGCCGAGCTGGGACTCGAACCCAGGCCCTTGCATGTGGGACACAGGCACCCCCAGCAGCACCCTAACCACTCTGCCAAATGCCCGCCCCTGGATTTTGTGTATGTGGTTTTTAAAAGAGATTTAGTGGCCGGCGCCGCGGCTCACTAGGCTAATCCTCCGCCTTGCGGCGCCGGCACACCGGGTTCTAGTCCCGGTCGGGGCGCCGGATTCTGTCCCGGTTGCCCCTCTTCCAGGCCAGCCCTCTGCTGTGGCCAGGGAGTGCAGTGGAGGATGGCCCAGGTGCTTGGGCCCTGCACCCCATGGAGACCAGGAAAAGCACCTGGCTCCTGCTCCTGCCATCGATCAGCGCGTGCGCTGGCCGCGGCGCCATTGGAGGGTGAACCAACGGCAAAGGAAGACCTTCTCTCTGTCTCTCTCTCTCACTGTCCACTCTGCTGTCAAAAATTAAAATAGGACGTCA